TAAAACACTATTTAAAAATATGTCTAATTTACATTTCCTGATTTTTTGGACACTTTGTATTAAACACTTAACAATGAACTAGGCATTGACTGGGGCACTTTATACACATTTTTTTATTCTCCCAACAACCTGCTGAGGTATGAATTATTATTCACATTTTAGAGAAGGGGAAACTGAGGCTGAGAGAGGTTCAATCATTTTGCTCAAGGTCACATGGGTTGTTGATGACAGAGATGATGTCTGAATATCTCATTTAATGCTCACAACAACCCTCGAGGAGGGTACTGTTCCCACCTTCTCTTTAGAGAGGAGAGAACTGAGGCTCAAGGAGATGAAGTGAATTACCTGATGTCATGCTGCTAGGATTAATGATGATTTGAACCACGGTCTGTTTAACCTCAGAGACCGTGCTCTCATGGCTTGAGCTCTGATTAGGTGCCAATGAAGCAAATGCAGTGGTCACTCTGCGAGCGAGGTCAGGAGAGGGTTAATCTGCTGCCTGCATTTTTCCTGGAAACAAGGTGGAGTCCTGGCCAGCCACCCTCCTTCCCCCATCATTTCTCCTCTTACACTAATGGGCGAGATGCCTCCATTACCAACCTGTATAATTGCTCTTCTCTGAAACCGCCTTGATCAACACTCCCCAGGGTTCTTAGGCCTGACACTCCCAGGGGCAGGAAGGAATCTACCCTCCCTGTTTCCAGGAACAGACTGCTTCAGAAGGTAAGGCCTAAAACTAAGCCCTGGCGTCAAGTGTAGATGAGAGTATCCCTTGACAGGGTCCATTTCACCCAGCTTGATGGGGAAATGCCCCACTCCCCACTCCCTTGCCCCATGTGCTGGGGTGGCTGTGCCTGCCAGGGCTTAGGAAAACTACAGTCAGCAGCTCTTTCTCTCTTTCCTTCTCTGGACCATTTTCCTTCCACAAATTATGTACTAAGCACCTCCTCTTCCCTCACTTCTAATTTAAAGGACCTATATGCCCACAAGCCCTTCAGTTCTGGTCTCTCTCTTCCCCCTTAATACCGTCTTGGGCCCTACCGGTAACAGTATTTTGGTGGCTCTGGGCACATGGGCCTTGTCCAGTGCTTAGCGAATAGCAGCAGCTCACTGTGCCATGTGCCTGGCCTGGCACTGGGCCATAAACAACTTGCTACTCCCTCACTACAATCCTAGGAAGTTGCAAAAGGCTAGGGACATCCCAGCCCCTCTTCTGTTTTACTTCTTGGAGCCCCTGCAGGCCTGGCTTTGGGATGTGCGGGGTGGGGCAGGGAATAAGCAAAGGGAGTTAATTGGTAGATGAGGTCTGATTGGTCACAGGGTGGTGGTGGGGATGTGGGACATGTGAACATCAGATTCATTTCTGCAGGTGACAAGAATAAACAGAATCCTGACCCTCTCTCTCCCTTGCTCAAAATTTTCAAACTCCCTAAACCATCTGTAGTGGGCTGAATTGTGGACCTTCAAACTTCACATGGTGAAGCCCTAACTGCGGTACCTCAGAGTGTGACTGTACGAGGGGTCTTCAAAAAGTCCATGGAAGGATTCGCATTATCTTTCAATTCTATTTTTCCATGAACTTTTTGAAGTACCCTCATCTTTGAAGATAGGGCCTTAAAAGAGGTGATTCAGTTAAAATGAAGCCATTAGGGGTGGGCCCTAATCCAATATGATCAGTGTCTTTATAAGAGGAGGAAATTTGGACACACAAAGAGACACCAAGGATGCATGCACAGAGAAAAGGCCATGTGAGGACACAAAGAGAAGGCAGCTGTCTGCAAGCCAAGGAGCAAGGCCTCAGAAGAAACCAACCCTGATGGCACCTTGATCTTGGACTTCCAGCCTCTAGAACCGTGAGAAAATAAGTTTGTGTTGTCCAAGCCACCTAGTCTGGTATTTCGCTATGACTGCCTGAGCGAACTAATACACCATGACACACAAGACTCCTGTGCACCTCTCCAGCCTCGAGACATCCCCCTCACCTCTTGTGCTACCATCTGTCGCCTGGCCCAGATCTTCTCAGTTGCTCAAGCTCACCATGCTCTTTCTTTGTGCCATCTGGATTAAAATCCTGGCTTTGCCATTTACTAGCTATGTGGCCTTGGCCAAATTAATTTACTTCCCTGAGCCCCAGTTTTCTCACCTATAAAATGCATATTCATCTTTCTTCTCCTTCTTTGTCTCTCAGTGACTGGGCTTCAGCTAAGCTAACACCTCCATCAGGAAGCTCTCCTTGATTGCTTTAGGTCTGGGTTAGGCTTTCTCCAAGGAGATTCTAAAGCATTCCCATTCCTACAATGTATCCCCTTTCCCCACACTTCAGGTCCCTGCTCTATTGTAACTAATTATCTACTTGTCTGTCCAGCCCATGAGCCTGCAAGCTACAGAGTCTTGTCCACCACAGGGTACACTGTGCCTGGCATAGACGAGGCTTAACGTATTTCTGGTTACTAAATAGAAGATGGTGGGAATGAATTGGTTCAGACCTGACATTTTCCTGAGCTGATAACTTGGGCACAATTCTTATTTACAGAACCACTGAGCTAATGAAGAGTAATAAAAATAACAAAATAAAAATAATAGTAAATACTTCCCATAGAGTGCTTACTCTGGACCAGACCCTGTTTGAAGTGGTCAACATCCATTAACTATTTTTATACCTATAAAACCCTGTGATGAAGGTACTATGATTATCCTCACTTAGCAGATGAGGAAACCGAAGCATAGAAGGCCCTGTAACTTGTCCAAGTTCACAGAGGCCAGCAAATGGCAGAGCTGGATTCTGAGCCCAGGCAGTCTGGTTCCTGAACTGCTTTTAACTGTGATGTTGATGTTGTCTATTATTACAGGGCAGAGCTCTTCCTTTTCAACAGAATTGGGTTTCATCCAGTGGGTCTGGACCTTTTTCTCTGTTTATGAAATGTACCTTAGACCTGATGATCGCTCATCTAATCTGCAGTGAAACAAACTTAAAAAGTCCCCAGAAACACGCTTGATAGAAATCAGTCCCTTGTCATAATGATCATGTTTCAGGTCATAGCACAGTATCTTGGATTTTATCAAATTAAAATAGAAAGCATTTATTTTCTTAAATGCAGGGCATAATAGGTAAAAAAAAAAAAAAAGAAAGAAAGAAAAGTAATCCTGAACAGAAATGCACAAAACCTGCTTCTGAAATCCCTGAGCTCAGAAATGTGGTGAGCACCAGCGGTCAGCACACCTGAATAGCTAACTCTATTAAAACTGCCATACCAACCAGAATACCAGTGGGTATACACATCTCTGAGAAGAAAACTTTTTTTTTTCTTTTACTAAGAGAACTCGGCAAATGCCTACAAAGCCATTCCAAGCACCCCATGCCGATTGCCAAGGACAAATCTGGACACAGGCTGCAGGCACTGCTCTTGCTGCACAGTCACTCACAAAAGGCTGTGAGAGACAGCCCAGTCACCTCAGTGGAAATGAAGGGCTGCTTCTCATTCCTAGAGACTCCCCCCTGCTTTTTAAAGATAAAGGTCAAGTCTCCTGTGATATGATTGAATTGATCCCCACACAGCACACAGTCAATTCCGAATTATCTGTCAGTTTTGGGATCAATCACATTGAGATTGAAGGGACTGACCAGGCTCTGATCCACATTGGCTGGTGTGATGACTTTGAATTCAGAAATTGACCAGGCAGGGCCTGCCCTGGTGCCTTTTCGTAGACCGATCACAGCAGTGCCATCCCTCTCTACCTTGCACACTTTGTCATGTGACTTCACTGCTTCTCCTCATCAAGAGGTGGAGTTCTCCCTCCAACTCCTGGCCTGATAACTTGTTTTGGCCAGTAGAACGTGGTGGAAGGGTCATTGTGTCCATTCTGAGCCTAGGCCTCAAGGGACTTTGGGTACTTAGGCTCTTGTCTTTGGAACCCTTTTTGACAGCCATGTGAACAAGCCTGGGCCAGCCTGCTGGATATTGAGAGACACTTCTGTCACCCTAGCCACCAACCAATCAACCAACAAACTTGTGAATGAGGCCATCCTAGATCAGCCAACCTCCAGCTCACCCATCAGCTGGGTGCACACACATAAGCAAACCCAGCCAAGATCAGCTGAGCCAACCTGACCAGCAGAACCACTCAGCTGATCTGTGGCCTTGGGAGCAATAATAAATGGATGTTATTTTTTAAGCCACTCCAGGTTGAGGTGGCCTGTAATACAGCCACAGATTACTGATAGAGTCATTAAATATGGCCAGAGACTTAAAACCAAGGAGAAGAAAGGCCAGCCTTCAGTCCAGGGCAGGGGTCAGCAAACTACAGCCAGTAGGTCTACCACCTGTTTTTGTAAATAAAACTTTATTGGAACACAGCCATATCCATTGTTGCAGCTCTCATAATACAACAGCAAAGTTAAGTGGTTCCAAGAGAGACCATCTGGTCTGCAAAGCCTAAAATATTTACTGTTTGGCCTTTTAAGGAAAAGTTTGCTGACCCCTGGTCTAGGTGTAACAAATAATAACAACATCCACTCTGATGATGATGACGATAATAATAATAGTAATAATTATGATAACCTATGTAAAATACCTCATGTAAAGATCTGACTTGCTAGTCAGGAGATCAAGAATCCTGTTGTGAAACCTTTGGCAGTTTCTGCCCCCTTTCCGGGCTTTAGTTTCCTCATCTGGCATTGAAGGAAAAGGGGCAAGAAACTCTCCAGTCATTTTGTAGCTGATTTAAGCCTCAGTTTGCTCAGTCCAAATAAATCATGGGTGGGGCGCAGGAACATGCAATTTCCCAGGCATCCTCTCCATCCCTAGATCATTAGGATGCAAGTGAAAACTATTTGGTTTCAGAAGGCTTGTCCATGGGAGAGATGGCAGAGGTGCAGGTGTTTCCAAGGGACATTATGAGAAATTGCAAGGCCTGTTTTTGCAAGGAGATGCTTTAAGAACAACCAAGGTTAGGCTACCAGGTGGAATGTCCCTGAACAAATAGGTCTACTGAGAAGCCAATCATAATATCAATTAAAGGGAGGTAGCAGGAAAATGGGGTGGGGTGAGGTGGGGGCTCATCAAAGAGCTGGAATATTAGGGAGGGATAAGGATGTGTTCAATATGAGGTGATGATGGTGACGATGATGATGATGGTGATGATGATGATGGTGATGATGATGATGGTGATGATGATGATAGTGATGATGGTGATGGTGATAATGATGATGGTGATGATGATGATGATGGTGTTGGTGATTGGTTGTTGCATCTTTCATCCATGAATTAAGGGCTGTTATTAATGATCTTCTTTTGTCTGCCATCTTGTTCTATAATTTTACTCTTGCATTATCTCACTCTTCAAGTATAGGAGACTTGGCTCTCCAAATTTATTTTGAGCTCCTCAAAAGCAAAGCATTAGGATACACATTCTGTGTAGTGTGTGGTGATGAAAGCTTGGGCTCTGAAGTCAGACAGACCTGGCTTAAATCACAGTGCAGCAACATGCTGAGCTCTGTGACCTTGGGCAAGTGAATAAACCTCTCTGCACTTCTGCTTTCTCATCTGCAGAGAGGGGATAATAATATACCTACACAATACGGCTGCTGAGAGGACTGAATGAGATCATACCTATGGAGTGGTCAGTAGTGGCCATTATCACTGTGAACACTGTAGGAGCCTAATAAATATTTGACAAATGAGCAGACAGTCTAGAATCCATTGCACTATTGCCCAGAATGAATTCATTGCCCTAAAGCAGTGGTTCTCAATGTGGGGTGGGGAGGATTGTAAAATTTTGCCCCCAGGGTACATTTGGTAATATCTGGAGACATTTTTGGCTATGTCAGTTGGGGGGAAGGAAGTTACTGGCATCTAATGGGTAGAGGCCATGGGTACTGCTAAACATCCAACAATACACAGCACAGCCTTTTACAGCAAAGAATTAATTATTCCTCTCCAAATTTCAATAGTGCCGAGGCTGAGAAACCCTGCCCAAAAGTCAACAGCTTGTATCTCTGTGCCTGAAATTTTCCAATTGAAAAGTGTCAACTAGTGAAAAAGAAAATATTGGGATTCTTTGGAATAGACACAAGGGGAACAAGATGTCAAGGTTTTAGAAAGCAAGAGTATTCTTTGGAGGTTTGATTAGTCTATTACACCTTGCAATGATGTGTTCATGCCTTGGGTCAGAAGACTAGAAGGGCTTCTCTGGGGAATAGCTCCTTGAGTCTTGGGAAACACATGTCCCCTGAGCACTGGCAGAAACGTTCTCACATGGTTTTTATCAGGCTTTGCAAACTATTTGACATTAGAGCATCTGGGTTGGTAAGAAATGGGATGATTCAGTTGCAGCTGATTCTCCACTTAGCTCTAAACCACCGTATCTACTTTCTGTTATTTTTATATGCCAAATAGCTTTGCCAGCTCCAGGCACAATGTCCCTTTCAAGAGGACAAAGAAACAGCTCAATGGCTCCTGACACATTAGCTCTTTGAGCCATTTCAGCTCGGCTTCAGTTTATAAGCTAGCAAGGCAAATGAACTGGAGGGGAGACTACTTACACGTGAGCCTCCGGTAGGGAGGGAGAAATGATACAGCTGTGGACAGGGGTGAACGGGCGAAGTGTGACTCCAGCCCCCAGCTTCTTAAACTTCTCGTCGTCGTACGTGCTGAACGAAAGCAGAAAGAGGAACAATGTGAGCGATGAACAGCAGCGTTAGATGCTTTTTTCTCTTGCCTGGGTTTATTTGACAGATATTACTGGGCACCTTCTAGGTGCCAGGAAATAATTTGTGGCTTGAGAGATGAAGGTTCTAGATGCAGTTTGTGACCAGGGCATATGAGGGTACTTCAAAAAGTGGAAAATGGAATTAAATGGAAAAATGGAATTAAAAGATATTATGAATCCTTCCATGAACTTTTTGAAGACCCATCTTCTAAAAATCCCTGCCCTCATGGAGTGTATATTCTACTGGAAGAGCAAAGAGAATAAACAAGAAAAATAGGCAAATTATGTGGTATACTAGTATATTACACTAGGGTTTGGAAATGTTTTCTTAAAGGGCCAGTCAAGAAATATTTTCAGCTGTGTTCTAGAAACAGCAGTTGAATACCATATTAAAATGTTTTTTTTTTTTTTTTTTTTTTGATCTTACCATCATGGAGCAAGTCATTTCAGTTGTAGAAAAAAAAAAAATATATATATATATATTTTGCATGCCTGAGTCAGAGCATATATATTGTTTTGGCCATGGCCAAATTCATCCCACAGACATATTTTAATTAGCCTACTGTGTGTTTGTGTGTGTGTATGTATTTGAATCAATTGTCTATATTTTAAAATTGGGAGATTTCATATAAATATTGAAAAGCTTTGGCTTTTAAAACTTGAAGGCTCTGGCCACTCTGGACCTGTGTTCCCACTGGCAAGAATCAGCTGGAGCCGAGGATAGAGGATCATTGCCTGCTTTGCATGAGGCGTGTCATTCCTGGCTTGCTCCAGACCTAGCACCCCTGGTTTCTCACTCCCCACCCACCTTACTAATTCATGCTACCTGCCTGTTCCACAAAGGCCTTTCAGTTTATGAGCCCCAGTCTAAGTACTTTAATTGACTGAGTCATTGATGGGTTCCCGATTCATTAATTTCTACCAATATTTCTTGAACATCTTCTCTGTGCTTGGGGTTGCAGATATAGCAGTAAATGAGACAGTCCCAGCAACCCCTCCTGAAGCTAGTGGGGGAGATAGGCATCACTAGACACACACAGTTGTGATAAGTGTTCAGAGGGAGAGTGCACAGTGCTTTGACAGCTTAAAATAGGGAATTTGACTGAAATGGAAGCCAGGGAATACTTCCATAAGGAAGTTTTGACTATTTCAAAGTATGTCCACCAAATTCTTTGGTAATCCTTCAATTGAGAGTTAGGTCTATGTCCACTAAGATCGAAGGATCTCATCTCTGTGACTGGATGACCTAATAGTATGTGTCAGAAATGATACAATGCCAGGCTGCAGGATCCAGCAGCCTCTTCCTGTGTCCTGGGATGCTCGCGCTTAGCATCTGACTACCATGTTGTGAGGAAGCTGGTGGCCTGTGAAGAGGCCCATAGGGAGAGGAACCAAGCTCTCAGCAGAAAGTCAGCCCCAACTTGCCACCCATGTGAGTGAGCCATCTTGGAAATGGATCCTTCAAGCCACCCCAGCTGGTGCTGTGTGGGGCAGAGACAATCCTTCCCCTCTGAGCCCTACTCAAATTGCAGATTTGTGAGAGAAAGAAGTGTTTGTGGTCTTGAGTTAACGCATTTTGGAGTGATTGTTCATGGCAATAGTAACTGGAACAAAAATAAATTCTGAGCTGAAATCTGAAGGTTGAAAGGGAATTAACGAGGTAAATGGAGGAGGGGAAGTCCTTCCAGCCAGAGGGAATGTATATGCAAAGACCCTGTGGTGAAGGGCATGTCATGAGTAGGAAAGTAGGAGAGTGTGGCTGGGGCAGAGGGAGCAAGAGGAAGCTATGAAGTGGGGCTGGAAAGGCTAGTCAAGGGCTAGGCCATCCAGGGCCTTGTAACCCCTGTTCAGACTTTTGTCTTTATCCTTTGAGGCATGGAAGCCATTGAGGGGGTTAAGCTGGGAGCAATTTATATTTTGAAAAGGCCACACTGGCTTAGCGTGGGGAATGGGATCAAGGGGGTGGGAGAAGGTGATGCTGGGTCACAAGTAGGAGTTTACCTTCCTTCTGGGAATTTGAGGACAATCCTGGAGTCACAGAGTTAACTAAAAGATAGGACCAGAATCTATGTCCCTCAATTTCCATTTCTATTGGCCCTTTATTCAAACCTGGAGCTGAGGAAACCACCAGCAAATACAATGCTGTGCCCCATCTTACTGGCTTGACCATGTCTCCCTTTGGTTTAGAATATGTAGAAATTAACCCAGCTTCAACACCCCTTAATCTCTGGTTTTATGTCTTCTCTCAACCATTATAATAAAACAAATTCTACTCGTCTGATTTTTTTTTTTTCTTTTTCACCTTTTCAGCTGAATCTGCAGCTGAGAAACGAGGTCATTGAGCACAGTGGGAAAGACTGCTTGCAGGCAGAAATCTTTTGGGACATGCTTGATTTTTCTTTTTTCCCTGCATAGTTTGTCAGATATAAAACTTTTGTCTAAAATAACTTATTGTATGATCTTAGATCCAGAGGGGGAAAAAATAATTCCTTTTGCTTTTGTAATGCACAAGATCAAATACTTTGTTAAAAGTATTTACAAATGAACACATATTTTTGGTACTTTTGTGATTAGAATTATACTCATCGAAGCATAGATCTTAGATGTGGGTTGCTTTCTAGCCTTCATGGAAATTAAGATTTTTAGCCATATATTTAAAGATTTTAGGTAATTGAGGCCCAGAGAGATCAAATTCACTTTACTGCATAATAATAGCTAACAATTCCTGAGCATGTCTTATATGCCAGGCTCTGTGATAAGCATCATTTCATCTAATTCTCATAACAAGCTTGGGAGTTTGGTACCACCTATATGGTTGAAGAAAAAGGAGGATCAGAGAGGTACAGGACTTGTCCAAAGCTAAACAGTTGTATGGATGAAGTGGCTGCAAAGACTGTGCTCTCAACTGCTACCCTATGGACAATTTCAAAATGCTATTTTATAACACCCTCCCACCCCCATATTTGATGGCTATATTGCAATAATGACTCCTAGTTTTATTTTAATAACAATGCTGTACAGCACCGAATCTACCAGATAAGATATAACCAGACCAATGTCTATGAGAAGAGCAATCTCATGCATATTTAAACTTATTAAGCTTTAAATAAACCATGTCTGGCACACTGAAACATGGATTAGAGAGGGAGAATTGTGTACTATGACCATGGATTAAAAACCTCATCCACATAAGTGGAACGTCATACTCGAACCCTTAAACAGCCACAGGATCATCTTTAACAGACACCCTCCTTACCCAGTGCTTGTTGGTTTTCCTATTAATCTGAGTATAGCTCCTGCAAAAAGGAGCCACAAGTTCATTCCTTCTCTTTATTCTAGGGAAAGGCTGCCAGCTGGCTAGTGTCACTGGGAGTATCAAACTCTATGAGTGCCATTGGGCTCAGGCTGGAAGGCAGAATTTGTGCTGAGTTCTCAGGACCCTCATGGAAAGAGTAAGAATCTCCCAGCTCATTGAGTGGCCTTCTCTGCATCATGTACCCCTTCAAGGTCCAGAGAGAACACTTCAATGATGCTGGCTCTGAAAATAACGTTTCTGACTTCTGTAGAAAGACAACACAATCACACCCTCCTTTTTTCTGCCTGGGCCCTCCTAAGCAGACACAATGGATGCAGGAATTTCTGGTGGGCTGATGTTGATATGTCTTCTACCCATGCCTCATTTTTGTAACCCAGCCAACTTCCGTTCAATATTAAAGATCCTGCTCTAAATTCACACCTCTAGGGATTCTTTCCAGATTCCCTCCTCACCTCCTAAACTTGAGCGGATGGGCATACTTAAGGGCCTTCAGTGTGCACCCCTGTGATACTTTGTTGTGGTCCTGCATGTGGTAGGGGAGTCTCCTTTAATCCTCCTATTTCCATGCCATCAGAGGGCCCGCACATAGTAGGCCTTCAATATTTAGTGGTTGGTTTTTCAACGAGAATGGGCCTGTGTCAAGGTAGCCTCCCTTCCCTTGCCTTGAAACTGACCAAGATAAGGGGCCAAGACCTAAGTCCCTAAGCGACCACTGATATTTTACTAAAGATCTTGTTGGGAAAGAGTGAAGTAGATTTGCATCTCACACCATGAGGCAAAACCTCGTAAAAATCCACATGACACATCTCTCTTTTCTCCCCATGAGGGCTGCCTTTCCCCCCATCTCCCCTCTGAAGGGTCCCTCTCACACTCCCAGCCAGACTTCTGGAAGTCTTCATCCTATCTCTTAGGTGAATTGGTTCAGCTCTTCCTCTGTATTGGTATATTATATTCATTCAAATATACCCTGCTCAACAGACAAAAGTTCTTCCTTGGGTTGTCCACTCCTTAAAAGGCACAGAGGAGGGAGTATAAATCATAAATATTTTTTCCCATGTCAGAATGAATAAATGAGTTAATAAATGAGTGCACAAATGGCAGGCTAGCTTATTTAGACCAACCCTCTGGGTAAAAATAACCAAAAAATGTCAGATAAAACAGCAATAACATAAAATAAAATTCTTAAAAGTGGCAAGGAGCTGACAATAAAGTGGGAATCTCTAGACCAGAGCTGTAGCGAGAAAGGAAACAAGAGAGGGTAGCTGCAAAGGTGCTGCTTTGGTTCTAAGGACGTTTGTCAATTTAGAAAGGGTTAACTTTCCTCCTGATAGCTTCACAGGGCAAGAGGGACAGAAATCACAGCCTAGGGTCTGCACAAATGAGGGGTCAAAAGAGGAGACCCTTCTCACAATAAGCTGCAATCCCAAGGGCTACAATTTGGGGGGAGGGTGACCGGAAATACACCAGCCCCCATGTGGTCTTGCAGTCTGGGTTCTTATCCATCATCTGGAACCTTAAGCTTCAAGGAGGTCCCCCACCAGTAGTGTCTAGCCCTTCCTGTCCACCTTGCACCCCAGGGCCTCATAGACCAGACCCTTGTTCTATTAAAAATTTTTTTTTATTGAGGTAAAAGTTACATAACATAAAATTAACTGTTTTAAAGTGCACAACACAGTGGCATTTACTGCATTTATCATGGTGTGCAACCTTCACCTGTATCTTGTTCCAAAATATTTTCATGACCCCCAAAAGGAGACTCCATACTCATTAAGTATCACTCTCCATTCCCCCTCCTTCCCAGCTCCTGATAACCACTAATCTGTTTTCTGTCGAGGATAAACCTCAAACACATTATGTTAAATGAAAAAAGCCAGACACAAAAAGGCCACATATCATATGATTCCATTGGTAGGACCCTTGTTTATCAAAAAGTGCATATTAATATTCTTGAAATTAATATTCTGAAGAAATTGAGAAATGGTGCAGAGGAAAGGGGGTGTTTGCTGTAGCTTCTGTTTCTTCTTTAGCAAATGACCTGGCAGTAGGGCTTCCTGAAGGTAGCCTGGCACAATGGCTCTCAACTGTGGCTTCACATTAGAACCACTTAGGGGACCTTTAAAAAATACTCTGAACTAGTGACACCCCCAGAGAGCCTAATGTAACTGATGGGGGATGTAGCCTGGTCACTGCTATTTTTAAAACCTCTCCAGATGATTCTTCTGGGTAGCCAGGGTTGAGATGACTGCTTGGACAGGACAATGGCTACAGCTGCAAGCCATTTCTACCCTGTATCTCTGCCCTTCTTTCCATCCCTGGTTTGTGTCCCATTGAGTCTGCATAAGCTAAGCATCCCAGGGTTTTGTCCACGCTGAGTGGCACAATCCATGGATTTTGGTGCCCACTGAGTTTGGGACTCGGGTATGCTTTCTAACTAAGGACATTGGGGAAAATTAGTTAACATTTCTAAGCCTTATTTCTACATCTCTAAAATAGTGCTAATAAACTCCAGTCTCATAAATGTATCTTGAGGGTTAGATAAATAGATGTGCATAAAGCACTTAGTAAACACTCATCATTACTGTTTTTATTACTGTGGTTGTTGTTGTTATTATTATATGCATGGGCATGTCTTAATGGACCAGTCTGTTGATGGTCCTCTCCCAACCAGAAGAAAGTCCTTTACAAAAGGGGGTGCTAAACCGACAAACATTTTTTGTGTATCTGCTTTGTGTGGACACTGACTAGGCCCTGGGGATGCAGCTGAGGGTCTAGAACAGAGAAGTTGATGTGGAATGGAGTGAACCAGCAAACAAACACATGTTATGGGAACCAGGGGTGCAAATGGTTGCAGGAGGTGGTTGGATGAATCCAGGAAGTATCAGGTGAGGGCAGCATTTAAGCTGGGTATTTAATAACAAGTAGAACTTTAGTCGGAATAAGATGTGGGAAGCGGTATTTAAGGCCCAAGGAAGAGCATGGAAAATGGCCTAGAAGGGAGAGGGAAAGAGGCACATTTGGGGACTGGCAAGATTTCTTGTGTAGCTGTTAGGATCAGACATGAGAACAGACAGAGGTAACAGAAGTTATCCCAGTGAATCCCAGGAGGCAAGTCTGGCAAGGTAGGTGGGACCAGACTAAAGATGGCATCAGGTGCCAGACTAAGGAGGGGCTCCTGATCTTGGACAGCTGCGATTGCCCAACCCAGCCAGCAGGCTCTGCTCTCCATGGTCCTTTCCAAAACCACTGGTGCCACAGCTACTGTGTCTACTTACCCCAATAAGGTGTCCCCATACTGAATTTCCGAGATCTTTTTGGCTGGTTGGAATTTATTTCTTTCTTCCTCTTTCAGTTTCTGAAGTTGCTGTTGCTTCTTTTTCATTTCACTCTCCTCCCTCAGAATAGTAAAGTACCCACGACCTATCTTCACTGACTGGATCAAGAAGCTAGAGAGAGAGAGACAGAGACAGAGACGATATAGAGACAGAGTCAGAGAGGGAGGGAGGGAGGGACGGAGGGAGGGAGAGAGACAGATTAAAAAAAACAAAAATAAAAGATGAGTTGACATATTAAGACAATGTCCTATTGTCTTGAGACCAAGGGCACTGTCATGCCTCAGGATAGGAGACTTCCTATCTCTAGATTTCCAGAATCAGACAGATCTGAGCTTGAATTCTGTATCCATTTCTTACTGAAGAGCTTGTACAAGTCATTTAATCTCTCTAATCCCCATTTCCTTCATCCTTCCATCCATCCCTTAAAAAGTATTTATGGAGTACCTACTCTGTGCCAGGCACTCTGCTGGGTGCTACGAAATGAGTACAGCAATCCACACCCCACAGAATTAGATACCTCCATGCATGGGCAGGGGCCAGCAGGGTGCTGGCACTGGAGAAGGGCTCTTCCATGATCGCCAGTGGCAGAGCAGATGCTATAGGGCCTAGGCTCCTGGCTGAGGCTGCCCTCTCTGCCATTTGCCTAAATCTCACACTGGAGAGCATAACTGCAGAAGTCCAAGTAACAATGTGTAGGTGCTTGCTGTGTCAAGTAGCATATGTTGGGACTTATTATTATTATTTTCTTGCCAACTGTTTCCTAATCGGATGTCTTGATGCTACCTTGATGTGAAGACATTCTGTGTCCTGATGGTCTACACACCTCCCTCCCCTTGGCCAGTCTTCACCTTGGGGATGGAGTTAGCAGCACTGTGGTGGAAGGACTGATGCAGAGGAGTTTACATATCTCTCTGTCTGTCCACCTGTCTATCTGGGATATTGCCAGGCACTGTATTAAACTACCACCATGTTCTCTAGATATAAATGTTGTTTCTGAAATTCAATTTTATTTGTTCTCTAAGTTCCTAATAAGCTACCAATGGGTGCTGGGTGCTGTGCTGACTGTTGGGGTTAGTGATGAACAAGACACTAGGTCCCAGAGTTCATGGTCTAATAGGAGAGAAAGATACATGAAAAGTCAATGATAACACCCGGTGATGGGGGAGGGAGGACTCTGCGCTTTACAGGAGGGGGCACCTAATTCAGACTAAAGGGTGGTTGAGACATCTTCCTGGAGAAAGTGATATCTCCTTTCTCTCTTTCAGAGTAGCCTCTTCCTCTCTCCTTGTTTTTCTCTTGTGCTCAGTTTTGTGAATATCCTCAGCCAGCTGTCATAACCAGACTCTGATAATGATTAATTAACTCCTGCTTATTTGCTGGGAAGAGTTAAGGTGTTACTAAGGGCATTTTCATTTCAGCAGAAGACTCTTGTAATTGTCCATTGGGAAAATGCTGAAAGGTGGGAGGTGGGGCTTTTCCAGCATTTATCAAATCATATCACACAGGTGGCAGCCAAGTGTTAAATTTTCATTCATTCATTTCTCTGGCTGGCCTTGGCTGAGATCCTGCTGTTCCAGCCACCAGTGCAGGGAACTGGAGCTGCATAAAGCAATAAGATGAGGCATTTGCCCCCAGACAGTTCACAGTATAATAGAGGAAACACACTCACAAACATACACTCTGAACCTAATGTGCCAAAGGGCTGCAGAAACCTAGAGAAATCATGTGAGGCTTCCTGGAGGTGACATTTGGGCTAAGTAGGAATTTACTAGTAGGACGATGGGAAATGGCATACCAATGGATGGAATAGCAGGTGTAAGTACAAAGAGGTGAGTCTGCAGATGGCTTGTTTAGGGAGCTACGAGTATCTTAAAAAATCTGGAGCACTGAAGTATAGGAGAGTGGCTAGAGCTGAAGCTGGAGATGCTGGCAGGGAACAGCTGATGCAGGGCCTTGAGTTTTTAAGTGAGACCAGATTTTGGGATTGCTAGGAATGCACCTTCTAAAAATGCTTCAGAAATCTAAAAATGTCTGACTGAGTTTTCATGAACAACTTTTAAAGCTATTAACAATATTAAAACACAAAACATCCTGTTCTGTACCAGATCAATTCATTTTGTACAAGCCTCTCCTGTCCTTTCTATTGCTTTCACTTTGGTTCACCAATTCTGCAATGCACATGTCTTCACATCTTAACATCTTTCAGATGAGACTGTGACTTACCATCACTGGCCTTTTGCAATCGCTGCCAGCCAGATGGCTGCTGCATTGTGATTGTCATAGCCTGTGTGTGCCTGAACTTGGTTGTTGCTCCTGGTAGCCTGACTGCTCAACTACCCCCTTGATGTTTTAGTCACTAAACCATCGGACCATGAGTTGGGGGTCTGCCAAGTCTTTTTCTTTGATGTATTCTTATAAAATCAAGAAAGTACCAGTATCATAACTTTCAGACTGGTGGCCAGCAGTACAAAGAAAATCCTGGAGGCAATAATGGAGCATCCTTTTAAGAAACGTTGCATCGGGCATTGTTGACTATGGGTGGAAAAGTGATTCAGATGAGCTGGACTTTGAATGTGAAGCAGTTTGAGTAGTACCTTAACAAATGTATTCCACTTATATTTTCCTTTTTATGTGAACAGAAGAGTGATATATAAAAATTATGTAGGTAAGTGAAAAAGAGTTTTTAAAAAATTATGAAATGAAATATATTTTTACAAAATAAAAATTCTAAGTGATAAGGAAGCACTGTCTTAATTTATTTTTATTTATTTTTTATTAGCATATTCATTGTTACAAATCATACTTATTCTTTATGTCCCTTATCCAAACTCTCCCCTTTCTCTTCTCCCAGCACTGTCTTAATT